CAGAAACCATGCACCTTGACCAACCTCCGGCCCTGGTGACGAGCATTGACTGCTGCAGAGTTTGGCTTTCTCAGCTGCAGAGTGTGAGGGAGCACGCGTGGCCCTCGTCTCTCAGAGCCTGACTCACTCCCTGGACCTGACAATCCCCTGCTCCAGTGTGCGGCCTCTTGAACTCTGTAGCATGCACTGTCAACGGGGCCTCAGTGTCTTCATCTGCTATCAGTGGGTGGACGGGCTGTTCCTGTGTCTTGGCTGCTGGGCAGGGGGCTGCGGTGAGGGGCAGTTCTGGTGCCTCTTGGACACGCAGACCCATGTCCTCCATAGGTGCCCCATGTGTAGCACATGATTGGACGGGCAGTTTCCACACTGTCCTCCACAGTGGTGCACATGTCCCTCTCCTCTGCCCCCACCTGCTGTCCTTGCTATTTGTGACAGTAGCCATTCTTCCTGGAGTGAGCAGGTGTCTCCTTGTGATTCTGATGGACATTTCCCTGATGATTAGCTTTCTTTCATGTATCTGTTAGCTATTTCTTCATCCTCATTTGAGACATGTCTGTTTAGATCTATTGCTCATTTATTAAATGGTTTATCTCTTGCTACTGAGTTGAGTTCCTTCTATGTTTTGGATACTAACCTCTTATCAGAGGTATGATTCTGAGCCAGGTATGATGGCACACGCCTATAGTCCCGGCTACTTGGGAGGTTGAGGCAGGAGGACCACAAATTTGAGGCCAACCTCAGCAACCTGGAGAGACCTGTCTCCAGGCTGTGTGCATGTGGTTTGTGGGTGCCCTTTCCCACTCTCCATCCTGTGGCCTCTTCTCCCGTTGGCCGGCTCCTTTGCTGTGCAGCTCTTCAGCTCCATGCCACCCCATGTGCTCTCTTTGTTGATGTTGCTTGTACTTTTGGGTCACGTCCAAGAAATCTTGCCAAGACCAACGTCGTGTGCATTTCCTGTTTTCACCGGTGGTTTCATGGTTTCAGGCGTAGGTCTCAACTCACTGACCTACTCCAAGTGGATTTTCGTGTATGTCGTGACATGAGACTTCCAAAATTGGAAATAAGAACATCTAAACAAGGTGGAGCCCATTGTGCCATCGAGCTGCCAACTCTGAGCAGAAGACGGCACAGGGTGGGCAAAAGGGCCTGTGCCCCAGAGGAACTGCCGTCCCTGCCAGGAGGTGGCTGTGCTGGGTTCTGCAGCCGGCCTGTCTGCCCCCTCTCGGCAGGTTGCCTGCTGGGGACTGGGTGGCAGAGCCAGCCACCCAGGCTGGTGTGCAGGGTGGGCAGGCACAGGGATGGCTTTCAGCCGCGTGGAGAGGACAGGCTTCCCCTGCCCCAGGTCACCTGTTGTGGGCCTTTCCCTGTCCTGTGCATCTGCAGATGGCTTCTGTCCTGTGCTGGGAGTCCTGCACACCTCTCAGTGCCCCTTGTCTGCTGAGCGGGGCTGGGGCTGGGTCGGGGGTGCACCGTGGCTGCCGCTACTTTAATGGCAACTCAACACCCATGGCCACGTGGGTCTGACGTACCGGCCACACTCCCGCCCCCTCCCCGAGTCCACTCAGCCATCCTGCGTTGCTGAGCGTGATCCGCAGGACCCGGTGTCCTCGGCCCACCATCAGGCCACCTGCCCGTTGGCCCACGAGATATCGTGACTAGAGCTGCTTTGAGCTCACTCCCCCTCTGGTACCTCGGAGCTCAGCCAGCCCAGCTCGCAGGCACCCAGGGCACCCAGGTGGCCTTTGGCGGGCAGAGCCGTCCAGTGTGAAGCCTGTTCTGTGGCACTGCTCCCACTCCTGGAGCCCCAGGGCACGGTGTGGAGCGTCTGGCCGCCCATCTTGCCGCGTCCTCACGTGGTGGAGGGGCAGAGTCTCCCTGGGGTCCTTTTGTCAGGACATTGATCCCATCACGAGGCTCCCACCTCGTGACCTCGTCATGTCCCAAAGGCCCCACCTCCTGACACTGTGGCCTGGGGTGAGGACGAACATTCAGACCAGGTCAGTGGATGAATCGTGGAATTTTATAGGCACACTGTTCTGGAGTTCCCGCCAGGGAGAGCCTGTCTTTCCCTGTCCTGGCACAAGGTCTGCTCCCAGGTTTGATGCGTGTTCCTCTGATAGAGACAGAACAGTGCTGTTTGGTAGTGGAGTGTCCCACGTCCCAACAGCTGGCTGTTTCCTTCCTCTGAACTGCATGTTTGTCCTTTGTCCATTTCCCTTATTGTTTGTCTTTATTTTTGGTTTTTAAACTGATACGTAAAACGTACACGTGTGCATTGGTGTTCTGATGTGTAGACTGCGTGTTATGTAAATCGGGTGAAGCTATCTTATCTCCTCCGACACTTATCAGTTGTTCATGGTGGGAAGGTCTGAGGTCCTCTCCTAGCGTCAGGCACGCTGCGTGATCGCCACCTGTGGTCCCACTACTGTGCAACGGCACACAAGGTTCTTATTCCTGTCCATCCTGTCCGCTTCGATGGACTCCTGGGGTTCATTTATAGAAAACAGATGTTCACAGACACACACCCACACATGGCATGCATGCACAGTTAGTTCTCGCTCAGGGATGTAAGTTGCACACTGATATTTTCTCCAATATTTCCCCATATGTCACTTGTCTGCTGGTCTTTAAGTCTCTTCTTTTGCTCCCTCTGCAGAGATTTTTAAAAACACCTTAATCATTGCTTCTGTAACACCCACTGAGTTCAGAGTCACAGAGACAGCGCTCCTATTCTAGGTTATTGTGTGACCTTGTCATCTTCCCTCAGTGCTTCCAAGGGTCATTCTTGGCTTTGAGGTTGGTATGGTGGGAGCCCTGACCTAGTAGACAGCATGCCACCTCCTCACCCTGGGCCTCCCTGTCGTGTGCCTCAGCCCCAGTCCTCTCCCCTGTGTACCCTCCTTGGTCCTCACATGGCACTGGCTTGGGACAGGAGCCTCTAGGACAGTTGTCCCTGAGGCTATGCATAGAGCTAAGGCAGGGTCAGCCATGGGCAGAGGGTGGGGAGCACAGGCTGGCCAGGTGGAGACCCGACCTCCCGGGTCCCTACTTATAGTGGGATAGGCTGGCCCACTAGAGTGGAGGGAGTGTCCCCCAGGCACAGACACATGTGGAGTGTCATTGTCTTAATACCCCCGACTGGCTGTGTGTCAGGAAGTGTCCTTGGCCTGCAAGTCCCCTCCCCTGTCCCCACTTCCTCTCTGTCTCCCTTGATCCTCCTCTGCCTGCCCCTCGTGCCCCCTTCCACAACTCCACGTGCACTTTGTGCCCCCATGAGACCCCCATGAGGGTCTGGGCCACAGAGCTTCCCTGGACACGGGAGCGTCTTGGCAAGTCCAGGCCGTGGCACATGCAATGGACGCTGAGGCCTTTCTGGTGCTTCTGACCTGAACCTGGCTGTGACATTCTTATCTGGGGACAGAGGTCTCTGGTGAGAGCTGCCTTTGAGTTTGGGCTGTGGCTCTGCCTGCCTTGGTTTTCTCTGGTGGGCAGCCACAAGGCTCTGCCCCAGCCTGCCTCCACCCCTGCCCCTGGTGGGCAGCTCTCCTGGGGCCTGGTCTGGAGCCATCATTGAGCTCAGCCACCTGGCAAGGCTGGAGTCCACCGCTGGCCTTTGGTCCTCCCGGAGGCCCTCTGCTCAGATGGAGCTTTGGAGGTGAAGCCCAGCCCTTGTGGGGCTCTGGCCCTGGCCCTCCAGTCAGCTTCCTCCCAACCCAGAGCCTCTCTTCAACCTGGGAGCTCCCAGGAGACCCTACCTCTGCCCCGCTGTGCCCTCCTGCACCCCTCTGCCCTCCTAGAGGCCCTATCCTACTCCATGCTCCCAGGGCCCTACCCCTGCTGTGGGGCTGACACATCCCCTCTGCAACCTCTTGGCCCTGCTCCCGCCCCAGCCCTTGTGTAGACCACCCTTAGGCAGGTGAGTCCACAGCCCCCTGCGAGGGATTCAGGTGAGGGCAGTGTTCCAAAGCCGCTACCCCCGATCATTCCCAGAGGAGCCTGGGCACAACAGCATTGCCCCTGCTGAGGGGCAAAGGGGACTGTCTCCTGTGGTGTTTGAGGCAGGGAACTTAGTCCGTCCTGCCCACGTGCAAACAGATGCCTCCTCGTCCAAGGATGAAGGCCTGGGCATGGCGGGAAGTGCGTGTGCCTGCGGGCTCCATGTGCAGTCTGCCCACATGGGGTGCTGAGGCCTGTGGGTGACGCACAGAGCTGGCAGGACTCGGGTGTCAGTCCTGGGATGGAGCAGGGTGCAGAGCTGCCGGGTCAGGGCTGAGGCATTGAGGCTGGGAGCCTCACTCAGTGTGCACAGCCTAGGCCTGCACAGATGTGTTCTGGACAGGGCCTGCTGGAGTGTCCAGGGGTTGCCATCCGCTGTGGGGACATGGGGGTCTAGCAGGCTTGAATTCAGAGGAAGGAGGTGCAGGAGCCTGGGACAGGAGGGTACGTGACTAGAAGGCGAGGGGGGGAGGGCGAGCCTCTCCTTAGTTGGCCATTAGGCTGGGGGATGAGCTCTCCGGCCACTTGTGAAGAGCTGGGCCCTGGAGTGTCTTCACTGAGAACTGTCCTTTCACTCTGGTGGCCAGTCCTGCCCTTCCAAGACTGAAAGACCCTGCCCGGTCACCAGGCTACAGAGGGCAGGCAGGGAGGAACAAGCCAAGGCCTGCCCCTGAAGCCATAGACCCATGGGACACCCCCAGCTGGTGGCATCAGAGGGAAGTGGTCTCTAAGCTGGGGAGGGGAGCAGAGTGTGGTAGAGACACCAGGGAGCTGTAGTCCTGGATTTGGCCCTATCCCCTGCTGCAGCTTGAGCCTGGCTGTGCTCGTGGGGGTGGTATGTGTCAGGGAAGGGGCTCCATGGGTCTGGGCAGTGTGGCTGGTGTGGACTGGACTCCCTGAAATGGCTGGGCTCCTCCTGCTTGGCTCTGTGGGATGGTTCTTCTGTCCCCAGCTCCCGTGGCCCTGGCTGGAGCTGGGGCTCACTCTTGCCTCTCCATCCCCAGGCTGACTGGCAGCGAGCCCCTGACCATCCTCCCACTGACCCTGGAGCCTGAGGCAGCTGCCCAGGCTCACTTTAAGGCCTGTGATCGGCTGAAATTAGAGCGCAAGCAAAGGCGCATGTGCCGGCGGGACCCGGGCGTGGCGGAGACGCTGGTGGAGGCAGTGAGCATGAGTGCGCTCGAGTGCCAGTACCAGTTCCGCTTTGAGCGCTGGAACTGCACCCTGGAGGGCCGCTACCGCGCCAGCCTGCTCAAGAGAGGTGAGTGCCCAGGCCCTGCCCAGATCTGGCCAAAGAGCCCAGGTGGCAAAGATGGGACTGCAGGGCTGTGGGCATATCCCTCCTGCGTGCTCTCTTCCTCTGGGTCCCAGGTGACCTGAGGCCTGGCTTCTGGCAGTGGCTGGGGCCTGGACAGAGCAGCCCCTCACCTCCCTCCACCCATCCCCTCCATCACACACACTCATGGAGGGCCTGGTGGCATAGGACGTCTTGGCTCAGTCTTTGACAGGTCCCCGGGCTATCTGTGAGCGCTTGACTCATGCCAGGTATCTGAGTGCCCAGACACCTCCACCCAAGGAGAAGCCCTCCTCTCCTCCCTCCTGCACCTGGGGCACAGAGGTCGGGGCCCCTCCACAGCCTTGCCCCAGCTGAGGGCTGGGGTGCTGGGCGGATGATCAGTGGTAGATGCTTAGGGAGGTCCTCCACGGAGAAGGCCCTGGATTCCATCCCCAGCACTGCCAAAACAAAACCAAAGGAAACCAAGCATAGGGCACTTGAGGCCAGGGCAGGGCCACGCCCTGAGTTCCAGCACCCTGGACGTGCCCTGCACCCCAGGCAGGCAGCACCACACACCTGCTCACCTGAGGGGATGGTTCAGAGCCCCCAGCTGTGGTTTGGCTGCAACACGTGTGAAATGGGAACCTCCAGATGGGTGCAGGGTCCTGGGGCCCTGGCCTCACTGACCTGCCCCTGCTGACCCCAGGCTTCAAGGAGACCGCCTTCCTCTATGCTATCTCCTCGGCCGGCCTGACACACGCCCTGGCCAAGGCGTGCAGCGCCGGGCGCATGGAGCGCTGCACATGTGACGAGGCACCGGACCTGGAGAACAGAGAGGCCTGGCAGTGGGGCGGCTGCGGGGACAACCTCAAGTACAGCAGCAAGTTCGTTAAGGAGTTCCTGGGCAGGCGGTCAAGCAAGGACCTGAGAGCCCGCGTGGACTTCCACAACAACCTCGTGGGTGTGAAGGCAAGCAGAGCGGGGCGGGGCGCAGCGTGGGTCTGTCCCCGGAAGGGACAGGGGCAGGTGGGCGGGGTGCAGAGTGAGTAGGTGTGGCAAGACATGGGGGGTTGGGTACAGGATCTGTGGAGAGGCAAGGCGCAGGGTGGGTGGAGCTGGGCATGCAGTGGGCGGGGCCCAGGGTGAGGGGAAGGGGCTGGGCGCAGGCCTGGGGTTGAATGTGGATGAGTGGACATAGGAAGGGAGGGGCTTGCTGGACGGAGGCTACTTCCCATAGAGCTTGTTAACCATAGGACAGATGGGGGCACTAGCCATGGAGGGGTGCCCCGTCGTGCCCCAGTGAGACATCCCCTGCATGCCCTGTGGAGAAGAGGAACTGGAGGCCCCAGGATAGTCTGGGAGGGACAGCTGGATGGGCCCCTCTGGCCTGCCACTGCTGGTCTAGAGCCCAGAAGGGTTCCTGGGTTGTCGTGGAACCAGGGGTCGGCGGCATGTGCCCTCCTGCTAGGGCAGCCCTCAGGCTTGTCACCAAGACTGTTGAGAGCAGTCATAGTGGGAATGTGTCACCTGGGGGTCCTGGGAAGAGTCTGGGAGTGCAGAACCCACTCACCCAACTCAGGGCTGTCCACGCCTCTTCTGCTGGTCCCTCTATAGCCAGACTCCGAGCAGAGCTAGCTACAAGAGACCCAACTAAAAAGACTCAAGTTTCAGAAAGAGAAATTTCCAAGCTCTCCAGTGGGCCCTTTGGGAGGCCTTGGGCTGTAGCCTGGGTGAACCTGGCTCTCTGGCTCTCTGGCTGTCCTTCCCGTCACCAGAGCTCCAGATGCTGGCTCCTGCAAGGGAGGGGCAGATCCCTAACTCTAAGACACCCGACCCCAGTCCCCGACCAGCCCTGACCACCAAAGGCTGACTCCAGGCCCAGCCTGGGCCTCAGGAGGGCAGGGCCAGCACGCCTCCTCAGGAGCCGCTCTTTATGAGAAGGCAGAGTTCCGGCCACGCACTTGTTAAGCACTCAGTCTCCCTGTCCATCAGTGCTCTGCTGCCTCCTCCTGCCTTCCTGAGCCGGCTGGCAGGCGGGTGAAACTGGAGGGCAGATTAAATCCTCAGGCTAGGCCCTGGTTTTCCTTTGTGTTGACCCCTCCTTCCCCAGTCGCCCTTTTGTGAGCTATTAATGAAAAGTCAGAATGTGAAAAGCCCTGGACCTGGGGCAGCCACATTTTAATTAAACCCGTCTAGGTTTCTCAGCAAAGCATCACTAAGTGGAGTCTTCGTGGCCGCAGGAGGGGGCAGGTGGCTGCATTTCTTAACCCCCCACCCAGCCTGCCCTCCTGGGGCCATGGTGGGAACTCGTGGTCTGGCTCCGGGCCCACCTGGGAAAGGGCTAGTCCCCTCCCCACTTGCTTCTGCCCCAGGGAAGAGATCCCAGGCTGGAGATCCCAAGGGAAAGCCAGCCCCTCTTGGGACCCCAGCCTCCTCCCAGTGTGGACCGTGGGTGCTCAGCTGGGGCTGCTCCTGGAGAGGCAGAGGAGCACCCCGCTCGGGAAGCTCTTCCAGCAGTAGAATTCTCTCGCTGTCAGGAGTGGGCTTCTGCCCTTCTGCAGCGACTGACCTACAACAGCAGCTGGGGCTCAGGGCCGTGCCTGTGGGTCCCCAGTACTTAGGTGGGGTCAGGGCACGGTTGTCCAGCTTGTCCAGTGAGTGACATAGCAGACTTCAGTGGGGCTAGGGTTGTTGAAGGGGAAGAGGGGTGGACGTCCAGGCAGGAAGGGGTGTCTCAGCAGGGTGGGGGGTGTCTGCTCACAGAGGTTTGGGGAGGTGTCCTGGAAGGTAAGGTGCAGCCATAGGACCTCTGTCCTGGGTAGTCCCTGGCTTGGAGGGAGAGGGACCTGCACAGGGACCAGGGAGTGGAGCCTCCATGTCAGAGAGATGGTGATGACCCCTGCTGGCCAGGCTTGGGTCTGTCCAGCCCTGGGTGGGTAGTTGGGCTACCTGGCAGGTGCTCTCACGTCCATGCCTTCTGCAGGTGATCAAGGCCGGGGTGGAGACCACGTGCAAGTGCCATGGTGTGTCGGGCTCCTGCACCGTACGGACTTGCTGGCGGCAGCTGGCGCCCTTCCACGAGGTGGGCAAGCACCTAAAGCACAAGTATGAGACGGCGCTCAAGGTGGGCAGCACCACCAACGAGGCCACGGGTGAGGCAGGTGCCATCTCCCCACCACGGGGCCGGGCCTCAGGGGTGGGCAGTGCTGACCCGCTGCCCCGCACACCCGAGCTCGTGCACCTGGACGACTCACCCAGTTTCTGCCTGGCCGGCCGCTTCTCCCCAGGCACAGCTGGCCGCAGGTGCCACCGTGAGAAGAACTGTGAGAGTATCTGCTGTGGCCGCGGCCACAACACGCAGAGCCGGGTGGTGACAAGGCCCTGCCAGTGCCAGGTACGCTGGTGCTGCTATGTGGAGTGCCGGCAGTGCACACAGCGCGAAGAGGTCTACACCTGCAAGGGCTGAGCCCAGGCCCTCCAGCCCTGCAGTGTGCACACAGTGAGAGGAGGTCTACACCCACAGGGGCTGAGCCCAGGCCCTCCAGCCCTGCCGTGTGCACACAGTGAGAGGAGGTCTACACCCTCAGGGGCTGAGCCCAGGCCCTCCAGCCCTGCCGTGTGGGGTGTAGGCAATGCACACAGTGAGAGGAGGTCTACACCTACAGGGGCTGAGCCCAGGCCCTCCAGCCCTGCCTGGGGTGTAGGAAATGCACGGAGTGCAGGGTTCACACCTGCAAGGACTGAACCCCGGCTGTGGCAGGCATTGTGCAGCAGGAGGCAGCTCCAGCTGCAAGGGCTGAGCCCAGGGCCCCAGGGTTGGTGTCTGGGTCAGCTGTGGAGGCCAGCTTCTGTCTGGCCTCCCCAACCCCTGTGCTCCTGCCCAAGGCCTGAGCTTTCTCCCATGACCCGAGAGCGTTGCAGCAATGCTTTCTCAGCTGTCTCCATCCCTGACACCAGTCCCCCATCTGGGCCCCAGTCTGTTGGCTGCCCCTCCCCGCCTCCGGGCTCCCTCTGAGGCTTGGAGGGCAGGTGCACCTTTGTGACCACAAGGCCGCCATGGGGCACGGGCCTGGCCCGGCACCCAGCACCAGCACTGTCTTCAGAGAGCCAAACCACTAGGAGAGTGCACAGCCCTCCATCTCCAGGGCCCTGCTGCCCAGGCGCCCGGGCGGGGAGGACTCTGCCTTCCCTCTCTGACATCGAGCACTTCTCTTTGGAGTGAGTATCAGTAACTTTAAGTTATTATATTATATTATATTATTATTATTATTATTATTATTATTATTATTTAACTAATATAATAATTATTATTTTCTCCATCCCCTTTGCCTCTTGGGCTGACTCTGTCTTGCCCTGAGCTGGGCAGGGAGGGCTCCTCTGTCCCTGTGCTCCAGTCTTCCTCCCGACCTGTTTGCCCTGTCGTTTGAAACCACTAAATTGAGATGATATTGTTAAATGAAGCAAGTGGCCTGCAGAGCTTCTTGGAAGCCGGCCCCCCACCCCATGCCAAGGGGACAGTGCCACTTGGTGGCTGTGCTCTGTACCTTATGGGCAGAAAGTCAACACCAGGGTCTCTTGCAGATTCTGGGCCTTGGGGTGGCAGAGGGGTGGGCTTGGTGAAAGAGGCAAGGCCATCCTTTGAAAGTTCATCCCATGGAGAGACCACACTTGCTCGTGTGTCACAGGGGTGGGGGCAGGCAGGGACAGACGCACTTGGAGAGTCTCTGGCTGGCCTCTGACAGTGGCTCACCCTTCTTTGGGGCCATGCTGTTGTTTTATCAGGGGGAGGGGTGACCGACACTGACCTAGTTTGGTTTGAGCATGTGTGTGTGGGGTGTGTGTGTTGCGTGAGTGTAGGTCGTGTGTGCATACTGTGCTGGTGTGGTCAGCGGTCACTTGGGTTGTCCCACCTCCTTGGTGTACCACATAGTGGCCCTTTGGCTCACAGAGGTCTGGCCTGCAGTTTTTTGGGTGGGTGGCCTCATGTGGGATGGGGTCTGGGAGGAGGCAGGTGTGGAACTACTGAGCAAGGAATGGGCTCCTCAGAGCCCGGTGTCCAGGAAGCAAAGGGGAAACTGTTTTTGAAAGGAAGCCTGTTTATGTGGCTGCAGGTCTCTGGTCCTTCTGAATGGTGTCAGTACCGTTTATTCTCCTGGGTTCAGATGGCAGCCCTTGGTCAAGGCCCTGTCCCAGCAAGTGAGTGTGGGTGGGCTGTGTGAGGGCTGCATCCAGGTGACCAGAGGGGCAGAGTGGCTGGCGGGCCCGGGGGGCCTGTCCTCCCAGGTGTCCACACCTGCCAGTGTCCCAAGCAGCAGGCCTGGCCACTCTGCCCCTGAGACTGGAGCTCAGTCGTGTGATTCGTGGAAGGACACCCAAGGGCCAGGGTCTTCTTACCCAATACCAGCTGAGCTGTGTCCTCAACATTCAGAACAGGCTCTTCACCCGGGGCGGCCTGCAGAGGTCTGTTGGTGGTTTTGTTTCTCTCTAAAGACACACAGAGCGTCCTGCTCAGTGAGGAGGCCACCGTGCCGGCTGCGGCCTCTGACCTTGTGGGACAGCGTGGAAGGAGCTGTTCTGTGGGGCGCGGAGCCAGTGGTCTCCCTCTGCCCCATCCACCTGCTCCCACCAGCCCAGCGGGGGCCTGACCTGAGCCTGCCTCTGGCCGGGTGGGTGGCCCAGGAGGGAGGGGCGTCCCTGTGCTGAGGCTCCCACTAGCCTGTTGATTTCTCTACCTCATCTGTAGCCCGTGGGTGTGAACCCGAGTGACTGTGGAGAATGTATTTATTTAACAGCTTTGTATAACAGAACCAGAAACAAATGGAGTACTAAATAAATGTATTTTAAGTTATGCCCACTTGAGTCTGCCACCTTCACAGGGGCCCTGGGGGTCGGGGTAGGCAAAGGAGGCGGCTGCAGGGAATGTGAGGAGGACTGGGGAGGAAGCCTGGGCAGGCAGAGGGAGGATGGGAAGAGGAAGATGTGGGCCCAGGACGAGGAGCCGTTGCTTGTAGTGGGCCTGTGTCCCCATGCCATGTGGCTGCCCAGGCCCCACTGGTCTCTCTACCTCCTGTGTCCTCTGGGCAGGGGCTTACTCACCCACTCCCACCCAGTTCTCTCCCTCCCTCCCAGGCTGTGCAGGGGACGGCCCCCCACAGGCCAAGCCCTCCTACTCAAGTCCACTGTGGTCCCCACCCCTCTGACACATCCTGCTGGAACCCCTGATGGCTCCTGCTCGTGCCCTGACTCCCCTGAGTGGCTGCCCTCTCAGCCCTCCACCTGTTCCCTGGGCCTCCTTGGGGAGCATCTGGGAGAGGCCTCCATGGAGAAATTCAAATCTGCCTAATTTGAATTCCAAATTCTCTTTCCTGACCCTGGGACTCTCCTGGGAAGGGAGGATGGCCCCCAGTGCTGAGTCCTCGCCTCCAGCCTCTGGCCTCTACTGGGCTGAAGTCCCCCTCTCAGGATCTCCACAGACTACCTTTAGCTCCCAGGCCTCTGCCCAGCAGGCCAGGCCTGAGTGGGCCTGTTCTTGAATGTTGGAGGCAGAACTGTCCAGCCTGGGTGAGAATCTGGCCGGGTCAGTTTCCCATGGCCTGCCCCACTGAGGAACCCTGACTGGTCTTCTCCGGTGGGTCCTGGGTCCCAGCTGTGCAGCTAGGGTTCCCGTGTGGGTGGATCGTCCAGTGTTCAGGGTCTGTACCTGCAAGCCTGCATACAGGTGGCGTTGTGGCTGTGTACAGTTGTGTCTGCGTGTCCACATGTGTGTACGTGTGTGTTCAGAGGGGCTAGGTCCGTGCATCTGTTATGCATGCATGTCTGTGGCTGGGACCATGTTTGTTCACATGTGCCAAGTGTGTGTGTGCACACATACATGGCCCACATGTCTGTGTGCTCGCCCATGGCTGGCTCCACAGTCTGCATGCTGTGTGTGTGTGCATGTGTGTTGTTCATGTTTTTTCTGCATGCATGTGCATGTGTGAGTGCTGTGGGGACTAGTGCTGGGCTGTAGCTTGCCGCCTTGCCCTGTGTAGTGTGGGGGGCCTGCCTCCAGAACCCCCTGCCCCTCTCTCTGGCCTCTTCAGCTCTGAGCTCCAACAGGTCCATTGCCTGAGGCAGGAAGGAAAACCTCTCCTGACCAACCGCTTCTGCCAGGTGGGTAGAGACACCCTGTAGGCGGCCAGGTGCTCCCCACCTATTAGGGCAGAGGAGAAGCTTCTAGGCAGTTCTGGAGCACAGGGCACCTGGAGCTGCCATCCTGGAGGTGGGACTGAGGGTCACAGCCCCTTCCTGGAAGCCCAGGGTTCTGGGCTGGGGTCTCTGTCCTGGCCAGTGTGGGGGGCTGGGAGGGTGGTGGCCTGACTGGCAGCTTTGCTGGACGCCTGTGGATGGGAGTGGAGGAGGAGCCAGCACGTTGCCAAGGAAACAAGACCCAACAAACACTCCCTCCCCCCTCGGCCTGGTGGGGGGCCTGTGGCAATGACCTCATCTGCCCACCCAGCCCCTCTCCCAAGGCCAGGCTGAGGTGGGGGGTCCTGAGCTGTTTGTGTTGGGCCTAAGTCCATGGAAACGGCCGGCCAGCGGTTGTGAGCAGGCAACCAGTGGCCTGACCTCCCAGAGCTAGGGAGGGGAGGGGTCCTAGAAGGGAGGGGAGAGAAAGAGGAGGGAGGAGGAAGAAGGAATGGGGAAGTGGGGTACCCAAGAAGCGGGAGGAGGAAAGAGGAGAGAGGGTGGGGGATCCAAGAAAGAAAGGGAGGGAAATTAGGGGGGGAAGAGAGGGGGAAGGGAGGAGGGGGGAGGGCGAGGTGGGAGGGGGAGGGGGAGAGGGACAGGGAGAGGGGAAGAGGAAGGCAGAGGAGGGAGAAGGGAGAGAAGGGAGGAGGAGGACAGAGGGGAAGGAGAGTGGGAAGAAGAGGGGGAGGGGACTGAGGAGGAAGGCTGGAGAGGCACCTGCCCTTGGCAGTGAGGGGCCAGGGCAGCTCCTGGGGGAGGTGCCCTAAAGGACTAGAAGGGCCTGAGTGAAGGGGCTCAGGACGTGGGGCAGGTGGGCCAGCCCTGCCAAGCCCTGGGGGTTCCGGGGCTGGGTAGGGTGAGAGCTCTGTGGAGCAGGGCCTCGGTGTGGATTTTACCCTGTGACCTCCCTCTCCTAGAGGATCTCCCTTGTCTTCCCCAGCCAATGTCTGTGGGCAGGTTGGATGCCACCCAGCCTGCAGTGAGCTCTGACGCTGGCCCTGGTGCTGGCCAGGTAGCCATGGTTAGAACGCCCACAGCGAAGGTCCAAGGGTTCCAGGGGTCGTGCGTCTCAAGGCAGGGGCCAGAGCCTGTCTCCCTCCCTCTCAAAACGTACGCATCTTTGTGTTGTTTGAAATAAGTTGGAAACATCTGATTCTGTGTCCCAAATGATATTCCTCCCAAGGTGACTGTTTCCACCCTGGCATGAGTGCACCCCACCCCTGCTCAGCCCCCTTCCTGCTGAGGTGTTCGAGGTGTTCGCTTTGGCGTTGTTTGCCCCCCTGACTAGGGATCCTGAAAAGATAAGCCTCTCCTCTGGGGCCCTGTGTTCAGCAGAAGGTGGTGGCCACACTTGGGAAATGGAGATGTTCTTCTGTCCTTCCTGTCTATTGAGAAACTTAGTGTTGTGTTTTTCTAGCAATGTCAAAGATAGGTAAGATGTTTTTCTTCTAAATTTGGTGTGTCATGCAGGCTGAATATCAATCATCTGAAATGCTTGGGGCCTGAGATGTGTTACAGATGTTAGGCTTTTTTTTTGGGGGGGGGATATTTGTAAAAGTTGAATACCCCTAATCTGAAAATCCAAAATCCTAAAATCCAAAGTCCAAAACTTTTTGAGGGTCACATAGGTACTTAAAGTTTAAAGTTTTGGATTTCAGATTTTTTGGATTAGGGATGCTCAACTGCAAAGCAGTGCCATTGTTACTGGATAATTGCATTTCTCTATCCATTCATCCAGCTGTCCACCCACTTATCTATCCATTAGTCTATCCTTTCACCCTCCTATCCACCCATCCATCCATTTCCCCATCCATCCATCCACCTACTTATACATCCATCCATCCATTTCCCCATCCATCTTTCTACCCATTTCCCCATCCATCCATTTCCCCATCCATCAATCCACCCACCTATCCATCTATCCATCCATCCATCCATACATACGTCCCCCAGCCACCCACCTATACATCCATCTATCCGTTTCCCCATACAT